TTTTTTAAAGAGGAGAAACAGTTCCTTGTTAAGGAATAAAACTTTGCTCCTAACTAGAATGTTGATTAAACCAGGACTGTTAGATACATCCCGAAACAAAGACTTGTCCCGATTCTCCGTTCCTCTTCTGCTTTCCCTCTCACACTGTTAGTTTGGATCACCTGACGCTCTCTCCTTTCAGAAGGGTCTCTAGTCAAGTCCCTGAGGACCAGCCCCTGGTCTGGTTTGGGAAGAACCTCTGGGAACTAGGGCTCTGGCTGGTTTTGACTGCAGATGAGCAGATCTCACTGTGCAGACAGGAATTCCCGTCAGGAGACCGTAGACATCAGGTTTCCGAGTGCCCTACAGGAAACAAAGGTCCTGGGCTTTATCCTAGAAACCGGGGGGCCCACACGCGTCCACCGCAGCCCTTGCTATTCTGAGAACGCGTGGCCTTTGATATTAGTGTGGGTCACATGCCAGTTACTGGTGACCACAGTTGGAACTGAAAAGTGGCTGCAGAAGTCCTGCCGCTTGTCCCTGGTGGAATGGGCTGGTCCCACTGCGTCTGCAGTGGCTTTAGAACATTCTCTTCCTAGGGCCTCTCCCATGACTCATGGCTACACTGATAAAAGAGACAAGAATAGAGGTTTCTACCTAAAACCTTTCCTCCCAGTCTTCCCACTGTTATTACTGTCTACACCCTGTTCTTTCTTTGCGCAGTCTAGATAACACACTTCAGAAATGGCTTTTAGAAAGATCAGCAGTCACCACATCCTGGCACCTGACTCCCTTTGACAATTACTCATTAGCACGTTCTTTTGTTTTCATGGAGCTCTACCGTTAGCCTGCCTAAAGTGAATTTTGTAGTGTAAACTCCACCCCTAACATTTGAAATAGCCTCATTCAGCTGCGTTGTAACTGGACCTACAGAATGATAGCTGGTGAGACATCAGGGCTCAGTGTTGTCTTATTCCCAGCGAGCTTGAGAGCCACTTTGGGGGGCCAGCCGCTCCCACCCTTTACGCTAACAAAGACATCAGTACCTCTCCACCCCTTCCCGCAGTTCCATGAGCTGGGAGGTTTTTTTTCTTTAACCACAGAAACTGTATTTATTATGATATTTTCTTTATCCATTTTTATTAACCAAGAATCTATAGCTAGGTCTGAAATCAAAACATCGTTCAAATAGTATCAACATTAAGTTTGATTTTTTTCAGATGGTTGATGCCTATTAACCTGTGCACCTTTCATGTAAATAGAGAATTCCTTTAACATTTTTGAAAAATGAAAATACTGTGAAGTCCTTGTTCCCTGCGCCTTCTCCCCCGCCCCCGTTACGGACTCAGTGGATCCCTGTGGTCCTAGGACCTCAAGCTGAGCCCATGATCTGTACCTGGGCAGTTTGGAGTTTTATTAGCAAGTCTTTTTTTAACGGGAAAAGATAATTAAAAATATCCACTAAAATGAATTTTTATTAAGACAAGTACCACCTCCCTCCCTATTTGTGGGGGAACGTGAGTAATGGATGGTCCTTCTTCCTCCCGTTCTTAGCGCTGTAACACCAGCTGCCTGGTCCGGGGGGCCCAAGCTCCTGAGTCGCCGCCACCTCTATTTTTCCCACCTGTATTACTAACATGCCCTCTCTATTCCTCTATCCCGTCTCTGAATTTTTCTTCCCTCTGTTGGCTTCGTGCCTTCTTGAGTTTCCCTGCTTTCTGTTTCTGCTACCCCGTCTCTTTCTTGCAGACAGTGGGGCGCTGGAAGGGCGGGGCGTCTGCGAGTGCGTCTCGTCCCCTGCGCGGCGCCAGGGCCTGGCTGGCTGCATGCGTGTGTGGTAGCCGCAGCGGCCTCCCCGTCGCTCCCTGGGTCCCGCCTCCGCCCCAGCACCGCACCTGGCTTCCACTTGAACCCCGCCACACCCACAGCCGCGCCCAGAGGGAGCAGGTCACCGTTACTGTCCCCCTGTTACAGACGGACACGTTTTCATATAACTTGGTTAAAGTCATACTTGTGTTTGTTTAGGGACACTTTTTATCTCTTTCCTTTGGCCCTTAGGATGAAAAAAGTAAAATGATTCAAGGACAAAAAGTGGAGTATGGAGAGAAATAAAAAGTCTGCAAAATAAGTAAATGGAATCAGTGGCCCCCGAGTAATCCTGTTGTCTCGGGCAGAGGACTGTTCACCTTCTGAAAAAGCCCGCCCTCTTAGTGACAGTGCTGTCCCTTCCAGTTTAGTGCTTTGATCATGTCACTGTGTCTCCTCGTTTCCCAAATGTACGTGTTTCCACGTCACAGGTTCCCGGGGCCCTCACTGGAAACAGTGCGTGTACTTGCTGTGGCTTCATTTTTTAGCTCTTCCAGTCAGTCGTGCCTCGCTCCCTCACAAGCAGAGGGCACTGGTTTGCTTGGGCCAATGGTCCTGAGGAGAACACTTCCAAATAGTTGGACTTCCTTGTTGCCGTTGAGGTTAATATTTAACAGGGCAGGAACGTATTCTTTAACCAAATAAGGATTTGGGGTAATCATTCGTCGATATTTATATTAGTCATCATATTTTTAAACCGTCTGTTTCCTGCAGTTGCCTGCCAGATATCACCTCCAGTTCAGCATCGAGGCAAAGTGAACACCAAGCTGTTTTAGCCGCAGTTGAAGTGTGAGGTGGCAGAATAAATCACGTAGCCAAGTTCATTGTATGAAAACTGATTTTGTAGGATGTATATGGAGCAATATGAATTTATTGTACCTCAAATACAATACACATTCATGGTATTCATGGTTAGGTTTTGGTAGAGTAGTAAGTAGTGTTAGACATTGTCAATATTTTAACAACAAAAGGGAAATTATATTTTAACCCTGATTTTTGTGTTTACACACTTTTTTGGTAAGCCATGTAAGGCACCCCTTCCTTGGGGAGGAGATAGCCGCACGTGCGCTGTGAATGCAGACTTGGTGAAAAGCCCCTCCTTGTGTAAGGAACATTAGTGAGAAGGCGGGTTTACGTTACGGTTGATTTCCAGAATATAACTATGTTGTAAAATAGGGACACATGCATCAAAGGGAGAATAACTGTCACTGCCGCTTGTTCAGAGAGTTGGGGCAGGCGACTGAAAGGAGCAGGCTCAAGCTGTGCCACAGAGGGTTGAAGGTAAACACCAGCCTATGTAAATTTCCTTTAAAAATCTCACTAAGGGCCTGCTGGGTAGTGCACTCTTCTCACCAGTGGTTAAGGAGTGGGGCCGCCAGCCACGTCACTCAGGGTGTCGGACCCGAATGGGGACGCCCGCTGCGTTCCCAGGTCCCGGGAAAGAAACGCGAGCCGCCGACTGGAACGGCGCGCGGAGCCAGCGGGCTGTCCCGGAGCAGGAGGGCCGACCGTAATTCCTGTGTCCGGCCGGCGGTGCCAAGCAGACCGCTCGGGGACCCTGCCGGGCCGAGGGTTTGGGCTGAGTGAGTCTCAGGTCCCTTTCATTCTCCTTTGTATAAATGGTTTAATTTCAGTAGACTTTTCCATCTGCTTCGTTAATTTCCACTGGAGCATCCTTCGTAAAAACTATCGTACATATGAAAAACAACAACGTGTGTAACTTCTGGGTGTGTGTGCCTTTACTACCCTCTTTGTTTTGTTTGGACCAAGGAAAAGGTATTTTCTGAACAAGTTTCAATTCTCTTGGAAAATAGCATGGACCCTACATTATCTGGGGCGTTGACACTTGCGGGAGAACGGCAGCCGGGGGTGAGCTGGTGCGGTCACAAGGGCCACGCGGCCGCTCCTCCGCGCTCTGCTCAGCCGCCTGTGGGCGAGAGAGCTGCTTGAGTTCAGTTCTTGTGTGAATGTTTATATAATCATGTCTATACTTTAGTTTTTGGAATGAACTAATTTATAGGATACCCTTCCTAATTGGACTTACTCTTTTTTCATCTGTAAAGGACATCATTTTTCCACCTGATGGATGGCTTTGCTTTTCATGTAACAGCAAGAAGTAAGGGGTTGTTTGCATTGGTAGGAGTTAGTTTATTCCTAGAGTTGGGAGGGTCCTCAGAGGCCAGCTAGTCCAGCCTCACAGTCAGTGCAGGGATGCCTCCTGCAGAGGGTGAGACAGATGGTCGCCCGGCCTTTGCTGGGATACTTCTAGCGACGGGAAACTCACTACCTTTCCCAGTGTTTTAACAGTTCTATTAGGTAGGTCCTGCTGTTTTTAAGCCAGAGTGTGCCTTCCGGTTATTTATACCTACGGTCCTAGTTCTGTCCTCTCAAATAATATGTAACCAGTCTTTTTCCTCATTGACAGCCCAGGAATATTTCTCTCCCCTTCAAGCTTTAATTTTTTCATCTGTAAAATGCCCTGACTGATATGGCTCAGTTTGTTGGATGTTGTCCTGCAAAGTGAAAGGTCCCGGGTTCGATTTCCTCTCAGCACGGCCTGGGTGGTGGGTTCCGTCTCCGGAAGGGGTGTGTACGAGAGGCAACCAATCAATGTTTCCTTCTCTTTCTCCCTTTCCCTCCCCCTCTCTCTAAAAGTAAATAAATCTTTAAAAAAAAAGATCGTGAGTTACCAGATCTGGTTATCTCACCAGGACCGAGGTGAAGATCCACTGAGATAATTGTGACCTTAGGCAAAATCCTTTTCTCGTCTCAGAGCATTAACATCTTAGTTTTATCGCTGCTGTGTGATGTAACGGGAAACAGCTGTGCCTGTCCTCAGCCTGGCAACCTTAATAGGTACTTTCCAGTTGATGTCCTTGCGATTAACAAATGAATTAATTCATCTCTTCATTAAACACTTACTGCCCATTCACTATGTGCCTGGCACTTGCTTGGGCCTTAAGTGAATAGAAAAATAGTGAACAAGACAGAGACCATCTCAGCCTTAGGGGGGCTTTTCTTTCCTAGATCTTTTTACCTTGAGATATCAGTGCTTTTGGTTGTTCAAACTAAAATGATACCGTAAGTCTACATGGACTCTAGTGCTTTTGGCGTTCTGACCGGTCAGTATTTAACAGTGTGTCTCTGACGTGCAGATATATGGAGCCTGGGAGTGATCCTTTTCATGCTGGTGTGCGGGCAGCCCCCCTTCCAAGAGGCCAATGACAGCGAAACGCTGACGATGATCATGGATTGTAAATACACAGTCCCATCCCACGTGTCGAAAGAGTGTAAAGAGTAAGTAAAAAAAAGTATGTGGGCATCCCGGTTCATCGACTTTTTGAACTTAATATTTCTGCTCTTGTTAAGTGTGTTGAGGGGAGTTAACCCCAGAATATGATTTGAAACTTTAATAGCGTACAGAATATATTATTTTATTTCTTAAATATGTCAGCTTTTAAGAAACTCAGAACATGCATCTTCAGTCTCCAGGAGTGGGGTTTACTTTTCACGTGAAATGAGACATTACCACGAGAACCACTCCCTGCATCAGCAAAAAGTGCAACCACCCGGAAGTGTTGCAGAGTTCCCGAGGAGAGTTTGTAGACCATCAGCACACCATTTTAGGATTTACAGAGTGTGTCTCACAATTTTACCCACACCCCCTTCCCCCCCAGTTGCTAAAGGCTCTGTTTTGGTGTATGTGACTGCGGGAAGCCAGCAACCAAAAGTAAACTCAAGTTGATTTATTTGAAATTAAAGTACTGCATAGCAGTGTGATATGTGCAGTGAGAAATACAATGGAATAAAGGGACTGTGGGAAGTTCCGTATTTCATTGACATTGGGGGTGATATTTTTAAGTGAGCTCGGCTGAGATTATAGCTACTGTGCTTAAGGATTTTGCTGCAGTAACACAGTTTTGAGTTTCTCCCATCAGCTGGTAGCTGCCATGGCGCCATGTGGGTATTAGACTTACTGCGGGGGATCCCTTTGTGATGATAAAAATGTCTAACTACTATGCTATACACCTAAAACTAATATAATATTGACTGTCAACTGTAATTAGGAAAAAAGGGAGAGAAGGAAACCTGAGAACCTGAAGAATTTTCTTTCTCCAAGTAGAGCCCCGCCTTAGGCCACGTGGAGGATTGTTAAGAATGTGGACCTTCAGTCTCTCTGGATTCAGATACTAGCCTCTCCCTTTACTAGCAGTGTGAGAATGGTAGGTTTTTTCTTTAGGTTTTTCTAAAAACGAGTTAATGCACCTAAAGCTCTTAGCTCAGTCCTTAGCACAGAGGACGCACTTGCTGCGACTCTCGGCAGCGGTGATGCCTGTGCCCTCGCTGCTGCTGCTCTCCGTCCCAGGAAGCGGGGCGCCCATGTGTGCGTGGGGCGCGTCTGTGACTCATGGAGTAGCTCCACGGCCCCCGCCGAAACACTGGCGCCTTAATGTGTTCTTTTACACTGAAGTGTATGTTATTCACAAATACTTTTAAAAATGTGTCTGCAATAAAAGGAACACATCTGTACCTGTTGTCCAGCGTAAGAAATCGAACAGTTCGAATAGCTTAGAAGCCTCCTGTGTCTCCCTCCGGGAGGAATTATCTTTAATAATCATAGGACTGTACAGTTTTCTACTTTTTCCTGTGTCAATTTTGCTAAGATACGTTTTCCAAGAAACTCATTCATTTTATCCCAGTTGTGAAATTTCGTGGCCTCGAGTATTTATAATATCCTCATATTTTTTAAGTCTAAAGTCTGTAGGTGGGGGTGTGGCCCTTTTTCACTCCACAATTGCCCCTTTTTGTCTTCTCTCATATTTGTCCCGAGCAGTCTTTCCTGAGGTGTAGTACTTAGTCTTTTCCCGAAAACGACCTCTGCTTGTGTTAACGGTGGGTTTTCTTCCCTCCGCAGCCTCATCACCCGGATGCTGCAGAGAGACCCCAAGAGGAGGGCCTCTTTGGAAGAGATCGAAAACCACCCTTGGCTCCAGGGGGTGGACCCTTCACCAGCCACCAAGTACAACATCCCCCTCGTGTCGTACAAGAACCTCTCGGAGGAGGAGCACAACAGCATCATCCAGCGCATGGTGCTCGGGGACATCGCGGATCGCGACGCCATCGTCGAGTAGGTCGCCGCTCACCCGTGCGGGGCCGCCGGTGCGGGCTCCTGGGATGGCCCTCTCTGTCCCTGCCAGGGCCTCTGGACACTGTGTCGTGGATAGTGATCCCAGCTGGCAGGGTTATGTCATTAATCTCTGGAGTTCCTGGCCCAGGGCCTGGCTCATAGGTTTTGCTTCTTTGTTTTTATTCTTGTAATGTGACCACGGAGCATGTCATTGACGGCCGTGGCCTTTCTCCTCCTGCTGGGCTGATTGGGACGGGCTGCTTTGTATCCCAGCACATGCCTTGTCCGTAGCATGTCCTCTTTATTCCTGTGTCCCCCACTGGTTCCCACATGGAGCAGAGGGAATGGGGCAGCCCCTCACGTCGCCTAAGTCAGGGGCCGACACGTGAGACCAGCCACACTTTGATGGAAGCAGCGTTTTAGTGGGGCCGCGGCGATGCCCGTCCGCCCGCGTTCTGTCCACGGCTGCGTTGTGTGACCGTGTCCAAGCGTTTGAGAGAGAGACCGCACGACCCACGAAGCCTAAAATATTTACCCCGTGGCCCATAAGAGCCCCTGCCACCATGACCTGGGACCCATGAGCTTCACAAGTTGTTAATTAAGTCCTTTAACACCAAAGAAGGATTTCATAACCTAAGAAGTTTGGAAATTCTCTGTTTTTTAACATCCTAAGAAGTTTGGAATCAAGGATGCGATGCAGTTGCTTTGTTTTAACATTGATTCATTTCCATAAGAGGTCTGTCCTATCTGTAAAAACATGACACATTTCCACAAATGAAAAGTCAAAAGTTAGTTAACCTGTTGAAGCAGCTGGGTATGAGGGAAAGGGTATCTTGCCAAGGACACGCACTGTAGGAACATGTAGGAAATGATTTTTTGTTTTTTGCATGGATAAAGGCTATTTTTGTCTCCCTGCATCAGCTTAATGATTTTAGCTTAAATAAATACCTGCCACGGTGTTGTGGAGCTATTTATTCATGTACATTCAGTTATAAATCCAAAAGGAGCCGTCTTGTGTGGTTCAGGAGGCTCCATGTGCCCCGAGGGAAGCGGGAGTGGGACCCCGGGGCTGCCCCCCACCAGGGTCACCTCCCCTTTGGTGAGTGCTGCCTGCGTTCGGAGGTCATGTTGTCGGCTCGCCCTGGCCTCTGTGGCACCTTGTGCTCAGCCCGCCCGGCCCCATTAGGCTGTGGCCCCACGTCCACGTGGTGAACAGCGATCCCCACATTGCTGCTTTCCTAAGTGTTCTTGTCGTATTTTCACTAACTGCGGACAGTTCCTGAGGAGCCCAGTTGCGTGTTTCTGGGCCTCATGCATCCTGTGGCACTCTCGTGTATTGCAGGCCGGGCCACGCGCCCCGGGGGCCTTACGCCCCCTGCAGCCCCGCAGCCCCCAGCCCCGGGCCTGCGGGCTGGGCTCACACTCGAGCATTACTTTTGAAATGGATGAGCGAACGCAGGGACAAAGTGCTGCTAATGACAGGCTGGCAGTTACATGAACATTCATCAATGCCCGAGATTCCGGTAAATGCCAAGAGAGCGTGAAAGTGAAAACTTCCCCTGGCGTTGGTGGTTGGTATTAGTGTTACAGTGCGCGTTCCTGTAACTCGTTTCCTGCTCCCGATGGGAGCGGCTGGCCAGCCCACGAGGGAGCGCTGACGCCCAGGTGGGTGGGAGCTGTGGGTCCCGTGTGCGCTCGGAAGGCCTGAAACTGACACCCCCTGCTGCCCTCAGCATGTTGGCTTTTTCTTAATATTTCTATACAGTTATTTTTTAGAATTTCAGGAGTAATCTTAAAATACTAGGGTTGTTTTTTTCCTTGTTTGTGATCTTGCATAATTTAAAAAACTTTAAGTCATTGGATTTCCTTTGCTTGTACTTTTAAAAAAAGAAAAACAGTTTGGCTTGTAAAAAACCTGCTGACATGGCTTGCGTGCGCTCTCCTGTTTCCCCCAGAGCCCTGGAGACCAACAGGTACAACCACATCACAGCCACGTACTTCCTGCTCGCTGAAAGGATCCTGAGGGAAAAGCAAGAGAAGGAGATACAAACCCGATCTGCAAGCCCCAGCAACATCAAGGCCCAGTTTAGGTGAGAAAAAAAAATCTTCCCTGCTTTTAGTAAGTTACTGTTTTGAAATAGTGAACTTTGGTTGGTTGGTTGGTTGGTCAACGCGAGAGGGCAGATGGACAGTGATGGCGGCCTCGTGGGAGAGGCCATGCGTGGGCTCTCCGTGTGTGCGTGCGTGTGCACGTGGCGGGGGCTCAATTCTTTGTCACCAAGGATGCCCTGCCCCCGGGCTCAGGGTGGCCGCCGGCCTGGCCAGGAACACACGCTTGGAGAGGCGGTCTCAGGCCAGGGTGTCTGTAGTTATTTTCATTAAACTCTTCTAGGCCTGACATGTATTAATGTATTCTTTTCTTTAATTTTTTTATTCCAGGAACAAGGCCAAATTTTTCCTCAGTTATTTGAAATAAATTTTTAAAATAACAAGGCGTTTCTGGGCCCTGATGTTATCTCAGGATTTCAGGGTTTGACAGTCCGATCAGCTAGCGGGCTGATTGGCCGCTGGGCCTTGGGAAGCCACTTCAGTCTCTCTGTGACGCAGCTTGGTGGTCTGCGGGGCGGGAGTAGGGACGCCGACCGCCTCCGGGGGTGTGGTGAGGGGCCAGCGAACTGCGATCTGGGAAGGACTCCCGGCCTGGCTCCCTGTGTTTGCTGCTGTCATCACAGGAATATGCCACCACCGCCGACTTCCTCCCCTTCCCTCCCTTTCCTGAACTCTCCCCTTCCTCCCCCTCCGCCCCCTCCCCCTCCCCAGTTCCTTCTCTTCTGCCATGTTAGCTTTCCATTTGAAATCAGAGCACAGAAGAGTTACTTTTTTTGCATCCTCATTATGAAATGTATTTAGAATTCATGTCCAGATAAAGTAACTCGCACAACTAGAGTGATTCAAAAACCAAAGGCTGCTCCCAATTCTGAGTAATTCTCTACTCGCACATCCAACCGTGTATGAATATATGTGTATGTGGATATGCAATTATCATTTAAAAGAAGAAGAAAACCACTGGATTTTAAATTAGTTGCAGTCAGCTTGCCATGTGCGTGTGGCTGCTTGGGCTGGGGCGACAGAGAACAGAGAAGGGCCCTGGGTGGCTAAAGAGGAAAGGGTCAGAAGTCTGAACTGGGCCCGGAGTTTCGGAGCTTTATGTGTGTCCTGGACGCATTCCTCCATAGTGAAAACTAGGCCCACGGCCCGGCGTCTGCTTGGAAGAGGCCTGCGCCCCAGGGAGCCGGGGACCCCTTGGCGTGAGACAGACCAGGAGCGGGGCTCTGAGGGTCGGCCAACCCAGCCCTGACCCGAGCCCTCTGGTGGGAGAGCACAGCCTTGGAGCGTCACCGCACGCCGGGCCCCCAGCTTGGGAGCCACCCCAGGCTTTGGGGGAAGGGGATATGTGGGTTTGAGCTGTTTTCTGTTCAGTGAGACAGAACAGAGCTCAATCTAAAGGGGGATCAAAGAGTAACCAAGTTAACTTGGTTTTACTTTCTTCTAGAACATGCAAAACCAACAGTAGCTATAAAGAAGTATCAGGGTCCTCCCCCCAGTTTTTCTTTTCCCCTCCTGGGGGTTCTGGGGCAGAGATGCCGTGAAGGCCTCTGTCCCCTCATGGCCTGGGGCCCACTGGCCAGTGGTGGCTGTCTGCTTACTTGCCTTCTCTTTATGTCACTGTGACTTTAATGTCAAAACCCTGGGCCTAACTTGGTCTGCTGCTGAGGGTGCCTTGTGGTCGCAGTGACTGGGACTGAGTCAGGAGGGTGGCGGTTAGAGCAGCAGTTCTTGCTCTGTGGGGGAGGGGTGGGCAGGAGCCGGGGTGAGCCAGCGCCAGAGAGTGGGCGCGCACTCTGGGTCTTGCCGACGTGGCAGGGGCCATGGCGTGGTCTGTCTGTCAGGAGAGGCCTTGTGAAGCCCCCGGGGAGCTGGCCTTGGCACGGGAGAGGCGCAGACCCGCTTCCTGCCAGGGACAGACTCGGCAGTGAGGAGAGCCACGCAGGCCCGGCCGAGGGTCCGTCCCGGGGACGCGCACTCATTCACTCGGAGGACTTCCGAAGCTGCGGAGAGATGCCGCTCCCGCAAGCACTCAGGCCGGGCGACCCGCATTGTCAGCGTGGCTCGCAGGCCTCGCTGGCTGGGGTGCTCCCCTCCCTCGCGACGAGCCGCACCCCCCTTAGCTTGGGCTGGGCAGACGTGTGCTCGGCAGCTGCGAGCCCCGAACAGTTCCACTCACGTAAACACGAGCCGTTGGTTCAGAAGTGGCTGGTAGTGACACTGCAGCGGTGGCCCTTCCCCGTCCTGGTTCTGGGGTGGGGACAGGAGGAGACCGGGGCCTTCTCCACGTCCGTGCCCCTCCCCGGCTTCTCCAGCGGACTGCGTGCTGCTCCCAGGGAGAGTCGGACAGGCTGTCAGCACCTCGCCCTCACGCCCCAGGGCTTCCCCCGGGGCTGCCGGGGGACCTGAGTGGCCACTCAGCCTGGACCACGAGGCTCAGTGGGGGCCGGGGCCGGTGGAGGACAGGGGACTCGCCTGGAGACGCTGCTTGACCTCAGCAGCGTTGTCGAACCCCAGCTTTTACAAACTGCTGAGCAGTGACCATGCAAACGGACCCACTCCACCCTCAAGAGAATACGGGGCTCCGAGTTGGGGGAGAGATGTCTGTTAAAATTCCTGTGAGTTTTATCAAGCTGTAGATTTAATTGGGTTTTATTTCTGGGATAACATAATTGGTGTGAAATGAAAATGTCAGTGTGGAAGTGGCTGTTTTAAGTGTGTCTGGCATCTGCTAGTCCCCTGGGCAGAGAGGACAGCTGAGAATTCCAAGATGTTTATTCAAAACAGGCCAGAGACCTCATCTTCCAAAGTCGCTGTCTTTGGCTACCGAACAGTGTTCTTGTTACTAGGTGCCTCCAGATGGGGGAATAAAATTAAAGTTTAAATAATAGTGGATTTTGCTGTCTAGTACTCTAGCATGGGCATTTAGACATATTTATATTTAGCTTATTGCATTTTTTAATTGGTGAAGAAGAGATTTATATTTGCCATTGTATGCTCATTCTTCAGTATTCTCATATTTAAATTCTTTGAACTATTTCTAATTATATTGGCAAACACCAGACTTTTTACACCATCCTCTAGTATTGGAGGCCTGGAAATTTCAGGTGAATTTTATTAGCAATAATACATCTCCAAAGTGTTCTGTTCCTCTGACCCAAAGGAACAGAACACTGTGGTGTTCGGGCTGCGACCATACCACCTGCCCGCGCCCGGTCGCCTGACCTCAGACGCTAAGCAGAGCGGCGCCTGGTCAGTGCTCGGATGGGAGGGCATGTGTGGTGTTCGGATTGTGCATTGGTGGTAACTCCCTTGTGCTTTTAAAAAATGTTTTTCTTGTGGTGTGAACTGTCGGACAGAAAAGAGTAGCCCTTTGCCCCTTTTCTGACAGCTGTGAGGGAGTTTTCTTCTTTCGGCCAAAAGCGGCAGGCAGCCCCAGCGTTGCAGCCACACCTGCCCGGCTGGTGTCCAGGAGATGCGCGGTCCGCGGGCTGTGCCCAGCCGGCTCCGTGTCAGGCACTTCCGCCGAGTCTGCATGGCATCACATGGCTTGTCTTTCTCCATCTTTCCACAGGCAGTCATGGCCAACCAAAATCGATGTGCCCCAGGACCTGGAGGACGACCTCACAGCCACTCCATTGTCCCACGCGACTGTCCCTCAGTCCCCTGCGCGGGCTGCCGACAACGTCCTCAACGGCCACAGGAGCAAAGGCCTGTGCGACCCTGCGAAGAAAGACGACCTGCCCGAGCTGGCTGGCCCGGCCCTCGCCGCGGCGCCGCCCGCCAGCCTGAAACCCGCCGCCAGCGGGCGGAAGTGCCTGTTCCGGGTGGAAGAGGACGAGGAGGAGGACGAGGAGGACAAGAAACCCATGTCCCTCTCCACGCAGGTGGTTCTGCGCCGGAAGCCCTCGGTGACCAACCGCCTGACCTCGAGGAAGAGCGCGCCGGTCCTGAACCAGATCTTTGAGGAGGGGGAGTCGGACGACGAGTTCGACATGGATGAGAACCTGCCGCCCAAGCTGAGCAGGTTGAAGATGAACATCGCCTCCCCGGGGACGGTGCACAAGCGCTACCACCGCAGGAAAAGCCAGGGCCGCGGGTCCAGCTGCAGCAGCTCGGAGACCAGCGACGACGACTCGGAGAGCCGCCGGCGGCTCGACAAGGACAGCGGCTTCCCCTACTCCTGGCACCGCCGGGACAGCAGCGAGGGGCCGCCGGGCAGCGAGGGCGACGGCGGCGGCCAGAGCAAGCCGAGCCCCGGCGGCGGCGGCGCGGACAGGGCCAGCCCGGGCGAGGGCGGCGCGGGCGGGGGCGGCGCTTCGGGCGGCTCTGGTGGCGCCCCCGGCGGCACCTCGGGCAGCGCGCGCCGCTGCGCGGGCCCCACCAACTCCAGCGCCACGCAGCTGGCGGCGCGCAGCGCCGGGGAGCTGGTGCAGAGCCTCAAACTCATGGGCCTGTGCCTGGGCTCCCAGCTCCACGGGGGCGCCAAGTACATTATCGACCCGCAGCACGGCCTGACCTTCTCCAGCGTCAAGGTCCAGGAGAAGTCCACGTGGAAAATGTGCATCAGCTCCGCAGGGAACGCGGGCCAGGCGCCCGCGGTGGGCGGCATCAAGTTTTTTTCTGACCACGTGGCGGCCAGCACGGCTGAGTTAGAACGGATAAAGAGCAAGAACCTGAAAAATAACGTGCTCCAGCTACCTCTGTGTGAAAAGACCATCTCTGTGAACATCCAGCGGAACCCTAAGGAGGGGCTGCTGTGCGCCGCCAGCCAGGCCAGCTGCTGCCACGTCATTTGACCGGGGGGGGCCAGGCCGCTGGACACTTCCTGCTACCTGCTCGGGGCGGTGAGGACCGCTCCCTTCACTGTTTCCTTTCCGGTTTTGCTCTTTTACAGCGGGCAATTATTTATTACTTTTTCATTTGTTCGCCTGGCGATGTGACAATGCATGGTCTTTGTGCATGCTGCTGCTAGACACTGCCTTTTCTTTTCCAGCCGAAAAGTCTATTGTATCATTTCTACATTCATAATTTTAATGTGGATGATCAGGAGTAAATTAAAATGTCTATTTGGAACCTACTATAAGTGGAGCACTTAGAAATTTGATGTTCCGCACTTAACCTAGAGAGAGAAAAAAAATGCTTTTGTTTCCTTGTTGAAAAATCTAAATTCCTGTCCTGACCTTCCTGTGACACGGAAACTCCGTGCTCTGAGGCACTCTGGTGTCCGAGACAGAACCAAAGCAATAACGGTGTGACGCCGACAGGCCTGCGGCCTGCGCGGAGAGCGCGCCAGCGTCCGCACTGGAACCTCGCTCCGGGATTTCAGCATACCCACACCTGTATGTCTTAAGCTATAGTGCGAAAAAAGGTTTGGGCTCTTAAAATGTAACTGAAAAAGTTATTCTTGTTTTGTAATAGGTGAGATAAAGTACTTAGATTTATAAGGCAGCTTTCCCTCTCGTGGTACATTACAAGCAGACAATCTTCTTTTGTAACGTGATAAAGTGAACTGATGCTGTCTTAACTCTAGTGATAGAGTGTGTGTCTGTTTAACAGAACAAAATGATGCTCTGTGTCAATTCCTTGCTGTAGGGCACAGCCCAGGGTTTCCTGGAAAACCACGTAGATAGAAGAAACTGTAGGGCCAACCATGGAAGCAAAGGCACGCAGAGGTAGGCGGGGTCAAAGCCCCATCAGTTTGGAAACCTGTCTGTGTGGCTTTTATTTCTAGGGGTTTGGTAGTGAGGCTGTCTCTTTTGTTATTTCCGTTTCACATCCTTTAGCTCAATTATCTGTGAACATTGGCTGATAAAAAATTCACACAAAAGGGTAGAATCCACACATACAGCAAACAAAAATGCACAAAGCCTGCTTTGTTTGTATTTGTTTGTTTTTTGCTGGAAGTGTTTTCACTTTGCCTTCCTGCCAAAACAATAATCAAAGAACTCTTGCTTTAAACTATTCCTGTACAAAGACTACTTCTGATCAGATAATCACCTTTCCTGACATTTTATTTGTAGGACACAGTATATTGCAGATTGCTGATCTTGGGAGGGGCCAGATGCTACTTTGTTATGCTGTGCCCTGGGGTCTTAAAAGCATTGCTCATCCACCTTCGTGACAGGACGTGGCTGGGCCCAGGGCCTTCCCACGCTCCTCCGCCTCCCGGGACGTCCGAGGCAAGAGCCTCCTGGTCACGGAGTGGGCAGAGCACCACAGGGCGGCGTTCCATTGGTCACGGTTGCTCCAAGTATACACTGATCTTGCTACGTTAGTATTCACATACTCTACTCAGAACTCTGAATTTCACTGTATACTTACTAAGCTAAGTAAAGATGATACTTAAAATACTTTTTACTTTCTAGACCTAGGCTAGATATGTTTTAAGCTATAGCACTAGTTCATTGTGATATTTATAATTGAAAGCTACAAGAATAGATGTGTGGGTGAAGCCATAGAACACATTTGCTTGAAATTCTTGAGCAGGGATCTTACAAAGGGCCAGAAATAAGATGTGTGGTTCACATAGATAGTGAGCGTAACATCTGTATTAAACGTAGGAGAGAAGTTTATAAAGGGCATTGGCAATAAACTCTTTGTTGCAGCTGTTTTCCAAGTAATGTAAATACTTTTTCCTGTGATTATGTATAGCCTTGGAATGGCACCTTTTAACCCATATGTGTTTGGTTTTCAATGGTTTTTTTATATTCAAATGTATATATGGTGCTCACTTTAGGATCAGCAGTGTTGACCATTTATGCTGCATTAGCTGTATTATAGCCTTATTAGTTGTGTGTGGTTGGTTGAGCCTCCGGGTATACAGATGTCCGTCTGAGTGGCGTCTTACTCATTTGTTCATAAGTGAATGGTTGTGCATGTGTTGTATGTCATAGTGTGTTGTCACATAAAAGGGAGGGAGCGAATAACCATTACATTAAGATAATATTGGACCAAACTACTTACTTGCTCTAAACAGTTTCTTGTACCCCTTAACCTGTCTTCAGAAGTTGCATAGAGTTACAGTAGTGTGTAAATTAAATATTGTGGACAATTAGTCTTGTATTTTTCTGTATGTGTGTGTATATATATACATATATGTGTATATATATAAAAAATTATGTACTTCTGGCAATTCTATCTGTATTTAAAGATGTGACAATCTTGACACCGATTTTCAGAATAGCCGTGAGACTGAATCAAAGGAAAGATATTCCGACGCGGTAAGAGTTGATGTGTGTTAAGAGGGTACAGAACAGAAGTATCAGCTGATTTGGTCAGTTGCTTCCACTGCTGGTTGACTTTCCTCATTGTGTAAACATTGACAGGTATGACAAATGGGAAAGAAATCCAAACAATAAAGTGGCATATTGGTGTTCAGCAATGTAAACCGTGTCCTGGGCTCTCTGTCTTCTCACCGATGCAGCCTCGTCTGTCGTCCCAGCCCGGGTGAGACGCAGCCTCCCGCGTGCTGCGCCCCTGCATCACCCCACGTGACCGGAAGGTCCAGTCCTGCTGTGATCAGTCTCGGGCGGCCCCAGCGCTGCCCAGTAATTATACTTTATTTCCCCACTCAGTCGGCTCTCCTCACTCACGGGCCCCCACGCTTCTACAAACTGAATAAACGGAAGCAATTAGGGCTGCGACCAGCTCCCACCTGCGCCTTCCCGCCTGCCGGGGTCCCCCCAGGCCCGCCCCCTCCTGGTATTGATCCCAAGGCCGATTCCTGCGCTGGCACCCCGACGCTTCGCCGCCATGAGGGAGGGGGCCACGAGGGTCTGTCGTTCTCTTATCGATCTTTGCTTCTCTACTGGATCATTCCTAACAGCAAGTAAGTCAAACACAAGCCATCCTCCTACCGCTCTCTGCAGCGGTGCCACATGGCTCTGTGCCCCTTCACTCTCGTGAACGCTTCCTGCCAGGCTTTTGCTGCAATCACCCCCCACAGTGACCTCCGTGAGCTAAAGCCAGTGGTCCATTTTTAAAAACAACTTGGAAATAGAATCCCATACCACCAATTAAATTGTACATTAAATCGTACAGTTCAATGGCTTTAGCAGATTCTCAGAGTTTGCAACCACTACTACAAACCCAAAAGGAAGTCTTGTAGCTATTAGCACAGTCTGCCTCTCTCCTCAGCGCCCCACCCTCCAGCCTCAGCCCCAGGCAACCCCTAATCCAGGGGTCAGTTTCAGACCCACGTTAGGGTTCAATAGGTTGATCACTTCCCTGCAAACGTCCCATTGTTCAGGAAGCTCCGTCTACCTTACTGCTCTTCCATCACTAGCGCCACATTCTAATTGCTGATCTTGGAATACCTGGCGGTTCAGCTCTGGATCCCTACTCTCTGCACTCAGTCTCCATCCCATGAAGTCTAACATCTATAGATAGAATCCGAAATACATTGAGCCCACTTTTCTGCCAGGAACACCAGATGCCCACTAATGATTTGACTTTGCTACTTGGATGTGTCTAGTAAGCACCTTAACTTTTCCAAAACTACTACTGGTCTTCCCCCTCCAACCCTTACCTGCTAATGCTCCCCCATCTTATAAATGGCAGCTCGAAAACTTCGTTTGTCTTGCACAAGCCCACAATCTTGGTGGTGGGCTTTACTCTCATCCCAACATCCCACCCATCCGCGAATCCTACTCGCCATTCAAAACTGACCCCTGATTGCCACGTGTTAGCCCTGGTCTGTGATCCTGGCGTCACTCGTCTGGACCAGTGTAAATGCCTCTTACAGGGTCTTGCTTTTGTTTGTTTTTCTTTGGCCTATTTTCCCTCCAACCGTTAGTGATCTTTTTCCCTGTATGTTGTGTTGAGAGGTGTTTAATTTCCAAATGTTTGGGATTTTCCACGTAAGTTTCTGTTCCTGCTTTCTAGTTTAATTCTATTTTGGTCAGAAATCATGCTTTGTATATTTTAAATCTTTTAAAACTTAGCATTGGACTTGTTTTATGGCTCAGCCAACGGCCGGCCTATGTTGGGGAATCTTTTCTTGTTTGAAAAGCGCTGTTGTTGGTAAAGTGTTTTATAGAACATACCAATTAGTTCATTGATAATGTTATTCACATCTTCTATATCCTTACTGATTTTCTGTCTTATATCAATTACCAAGAGAGGAATGCAGAAATCCTATTATTATTGTGGATTTATCTACTTCTTTTAATACTGTCACTTTTACTACATGGAATTTGAAGTTCTCTTGTTAGGTACATACACATTTGCAATTGTTTTCTTGATGAATTGATCCCTTTCACCATTAGGAAATGTTCCTCTTTATCCTGGTAATTTGTTCTTTGTCCTGAAATCTACTTGATGTGATAGTAATATGGCTGCTGTAGCTTTCTTTGACTTGTGGGAATATATCTTTCTCCATGTTCTTACTTTTACTCTATGTTTTTATACTTAAAGTAGAGTTTTGTTTTGTTTGTTTGTAGACAGCATATAGTTGGGTCTTGCTTTTTTATCCAATCTGCAAATCTTTGTCTTTTGTTTGGAGTGTTTGGACCAATTACACTTAGTGTAATTATTAAGATGGTTGAGTTTAAATCTACCATCTTTCTAGTTGTTTTCTATTTGTCTCATCTATTTTTGGCTCTTTTTCCTGCTTTTACTACCTTTTTTGGGGGGTTAACTTGATATTTTTTATTGGCTTACTGGTTGTGCCTCTTTTAGTGGTTGCTGAAGGGAAGATACATGAGGTCTGTCCAGAAGGTATTCAGCCATGTAGTATGAAAAATAGAGACATTTATTGAAGATAGAAGAAACATTGTACATAGGAACATTGTACATAGGAAGAAATATGATGTACATCATATTTTCCTGAGTCTCATTCATGGTCTGAAATCTCTTCCTTTCAAAGGTGATTTTAGTTTTGGGAAAAGCCAGAAGTCACAGGATGCAAATCTGGACTGTAGCAGGGGCTGAGTCACCTGGGTGATTTGATGCTTCGCCAAAAAACTGTACAAGATGTGATACATGAGCGGGTACAGTGTCGTGATGAAGCTGCCCATCACCAGTTGCCCACGGCTGCAGCCTTCTGCATCATCTGAATACTTTTCTGTGGAGGAATGTTCAAGCTTAATGCAAAATTTGTTGCAGATTTGTTGCTCTACTCAGTCATTTTGAATGTGACGGCCACACAGTGCACATGCTCACTCAACATGGTCTACCACTCCCACTGACCTGTACAGTGAAGTTGTCATTGGACACGCATGTGTATTCCAGTCCATTCTCCTTGGCTGCCAGGTTACGTCGATGTTGTGCAAACCAATCTTGTTTTATTAACAATGGCTGGACTTTTTCTGGACAGACCTCATGTATGTGTTCATAGTCTACCTTAAAGCAGTATTACTTCGTGCAGAACTTAAGAACCTTACAACTGTATATTTTCCTCCTGTTCTTTGTGCTGTTGTCACACAATTTATTTTTACACATGCATACATATTTTTGTTTTGAATTGTTTTATTTTTTAAGAGATGAAGCATGAGGGAAAGAGCCTTATTTTATTTCCATTATTTATAGCACTCTTCTTTTTCTTTCTGCCCGCTCCATCCTGCCTATAGAACTTCAAATTTTCTTACAGGGCAAGTCTTGCTGAGAATACATTCTGTCAGCTTGCTTGCCTGAAAAAGTATTTTTATTCTACTCATGGAGGATATTTTCACTGGGTAAAGAATTCTAGGCAGGCAGCTATTTTTTTCATTCCAGTGCTGAACACTGAATTTTACATTGGTGAGTGCCAAATTCTGTATACACGTAAGAAGAGTCGGATTTTGTTCTGGTATATAGTTACCTGGAATCAGTTGGATCTTTTGGGGTTTTGCTTTTAAAGTCTCAGGACAGATCCAGGGCAGCCTTTAGGCCTGATTGGCTTACGGCTGGGGCAGTACCGCCCCCTAGGTGCTCACGGAGTCCTGCCACTCCAGGTGCAGGAGCCTGAGCTGTCCCCAGCTTAGTGGACGTTCTCGTCACCAACGAGCCTGCTGCTTTCTGGGACCCCGTTCCCCGCCCCAGGCGGTTCCCTCACAGGTGTGTACTCATCGGTGCCCCCTCAGAGACTGCAACTTCCAGAGCTGCTCCCTCTCCGTGGCCAGTGACAGCTTCAGTCCCCATTAGGGAGGAGACATATATGGTTCCATTTTTCGAGCCAGACAGTGATGTAAAGGGAGGTAAATTCTGTGTCCACCCTTCTGGGCTGCCCTTGGTTAATTACTGAGCCCTCCACGGTGTCTTCCCGGCACTGGGCAGCGCTTTAATGTGATGGTTCGGCCGCAAGCGCATCCCACCTTGGGTGGGCCCTGCAGGCTGTGCCTTTAGAGATTTGGGGGAGGGGGCGTTGCTCCGCCCTCCACAGGGTCAGCAGACCTGGACGTACCCAGCCCCGTCCCTTCCGCATCCTCCCGCCTGGGCCTCAGGTCTCAGGGGTACGCGGGGGATGGCAACGGCCCGGACGGGACTGAATGATGTGACCGGGATGCATGGGGCCGTTCCCCCCGTCCCCCGAGGAAGGTCACAGCACTGTGAAAGGGAGGCCGCGATTCCGGTGAGCCGCTTGTCAGCGCCACCTGGGCCACAAGCTCTCCCACATGTTTGCCAGTTTGGCCAGGGGAGGCCCACACACCAGTGACCTGAGGAGAGCACCCTCCTCACACGCAGGAGGCCAGGGTGTGGGTGGTGGGGAGGGACGGCATCGTCCTAGGTGTCTCCCCCAGTTCCAGGTGGTGAGAACGGCAACGTGCGGCACAGTCCCCCCCACTGCCCCTCGGGGCACCTGCCACCAGCGGGATGCCGCCCACGCTGTGAGCTGGCAGACCCACGTGCACCCCTTCTGCTGACCTCCCTCTTGGCACAGCCTGACCAGCCCCACAGCCGGGGCGGCCCCAGTGGAGGTGGTCCCTGGACATGACTGGCCCCGCTCTGGTTAAGTGTGTGGTTCTGCCTGGTGGGACTCAGGGCGGGCACAGGGAAGCTTCTGGAAACAAGTCCGAGGTGCAGGGAGCCTGGGGTCTACGCCGGCACCTCGGGCGAGGGCACCTGGAGAGGCTGCTGGCCGCGGCGGCTGTGAGCCCCGGGCAAGGGGTTCACTCTGGGGCCCGCCGCCTCACACAGACTGCATTCACATGGCCAGGGGGCTGGGAGGGCTGGGTCCCCAGATCCCCGGGACACAGACGCCCAGGCTGGGACTGCGAGGCAGCTCCAGGCGCAGGACCACAGCGGCGGCAACCATCTGCTAGTGTTTAAAGCATGAGCATGTTCCAAAAAGCACTTGCCAAGCCTGGAACAACCACTGAAGATGTACGAACACATGCCACGGAGTGTCTCGGACCAAGTGGGGCGGGGCACGCCGGCCGACGCAGTGGCCTGGTGGGGCAGCTGAACAGCCAGGGTGGCGGACAGGGGTCGGGACTCCCCAGACGTGATGCTTGGATGGGCCGCTGAGGCCACCCCCATCTTGATGTGCAGGGAAGCAAGGGGCCAGGCCTCTGAGGGAGGGCGACAGGGCTACACCCGAGGCCCCTCAGTCCCTGCCTGCCCGCCCCGCCCGCCCCAGGGGGCCGAGGCGCCTGCAGCTTTCGGAGTGGAGGTGCCCAAGGTGTGTAGTGTCCCAGCCGTGAGGGGCGTGGGCCCCGGGGGAAGGGCCAGCCGCTTCACGAGGCAGAGTTTGGCAAGTGGGCAGGAGGAGGAAGCCAGGCCCTGCCCTTGCAGGTGGCCCTCAAGACTAGGCCACGGGCAGGGGCACAGCCTGGCTTTGGTCATGGCCTTGTGCTGACTGGACACAGTCCCACCGCTAGGGAGGGGACAGAGCCCCTAGCCAACACAGGCCCCCTCCTCAGGTGTTAGCCCACACCTGGTGCCAGGCACGGCAGCTGGCCCTCGGCCTGGTGCTCTGTGCGTGGAAGCAGCCCCGTAGCCCTTGCCAGGCACCCGCAGCACAGCTGCAGGGGCGGCAGAACCACCCGAGAGCCGCCCGGGCCCAGCTGCCGGCTCTGGAAGTGCCCCCGGGGGCCCAGCCCCAGGACTGCTCCCCACCGCAGCCCGGCCTTCAGTGGCTGCCCTCTCCATCCACGCACGGGAAGTAGGAGTCGGAGAGGTGTGTGCTGCCTTTAATAGCTCAGCGACCGTGGTTTTTGCTGATAAAGTGTCTTAACATGTTGCGGAGTAGAACCAGGAAAGAGGCAGAGCTGTCCGGCACTGGAAACCCCGCCTCAACCCCGGAGCAGCTCACACCCCAGCCCGCCACCCTACGCACGGATCCTGGGCTGGGCGGGGGCGGGTGTGACTGCCACCTGTCACCGTGAGGGGCACCGTCCACGCAAGACGCTCAGGAGGGCAGCGGTGGCTCTGGAGCAAGGTCGGGTGTGTGGAGTGGGTGTGGGGCCTGGGGAGAAACCAGGAGGAGCAGGGCGGGGGTGGGAGTTGCCAGGGGTCGGGGCCTGGCTGCCCTCTTCATGGGTCCTGAGCCGCGACAGTGCCAAGTGGGGAGGCCCGGGAGCGCCACGGGGGAGCTGCTGCTTCGTGGGGCCAAGCCTCGGGCCTGGGCCGGAGCCGCGTTGCCGCACGGGGCCTCCCTCGGCCTGCGCTCAGCTCGCCATCCCCTTCCCGCCTCCGTCCTGCGCCTCCTCCTTCAGGTCCTCGGCCACAAGCTTCATTTGCTGTTGAGAGAACACAGGACACGCGTGAGCCATGCAAGCCCAATGGGGGCACCTCAGGGGTGGGCGGGCTCCCACCCTCTGCGGGGGCCCTGGGCCACACGCCCCTTTACCTCGGTCAGAGCAAAGTGCCCGGAGCAGCTGTGCCCTCTGCCGCTGCTGGGGGCTCCCTGCAAGTGCAGGGTCCGGCTGCTGGGCCAGAAAGGCTGGGACCCAGGTGAGGTAGGTGCTCAGCTCAGTGGGGATTTTAAAGACACTGAACTGAGAGCAGCGGGCACCTCCTGCTCTGGGACCTGAGGACCAGGGAGGACAGAGCGCAGCGCCTGCAGCCCTGACGTGGGCCAGGTCCTTGCTCTGCTTCTGGGAACCGAGTGAACTTGGCAATGGGACCTCATGGAGCCTTGGTCTCCCATCCGCACTGGGAGCGTGGATCTGCAGGGCAGCGGCTGGGAGTGTGGTACGCGAGGTCCCTGCTCCAGGGCAGATGCTCCAAAGCAGCAATTTTACCGGCCCGCCCCCTGTCCCTACAGCCCCTGGGCCCAGAGCCCCCAGCCAATAACGCTGGGGACATCCTTTGGACTCTCCCGAGGACAAGGCCAGGATGGTGGGCCTGGACTGCCAGGCGCAGAGGAGGGGTCAGGGGAAGGAGCCCCGGCCCCAGGACTGTGACCCGGTGGAGGCGGTCCCCAGCTTGCGCCCCACCCCCCGCCCCCACAGGTCCCAGCCTCCTCTGCCCGGGGAGTGCTGGAAACAGGACTACAAGCACTGCCCTGTGTGGCGAATAAATGAATAACTACTTTGGAATTTGGCTTAAAACACACACAGAGATTTTTGATAATTACTATTTGCTTATGGGAAAAACAAAACTCTGAAACAAACACTGCAGGTGCCCCGGGTACGTGGCCGTTCCTCTTGGGGGCCCCACGTGCCACATGCAGCTGGAGGTGCCACATGCAGCTGGAGGTGTCACAGGCTCCCTCCAGCTCTCAGGGACAGGAGGCCCTTCCACAGACCTGGAAGCAGAAGCCTTGGCCTCCCCTTCACCCGGGCTCCCTCTCGGGAGCCCCCTCCCCCTGGGACAGCTCTCAGCTCTTCTGAACCTGGCCTGCCTTCCACGGGGCGGGGGGGGGGCAGGGCGCGCAGTGAGGGCCCCCGGAGGCCGACCCCTCTCCACTTGGGGTGGGAGGGGCTGCCCGGCCCCCACATGGCCACATGGAAGCAGGGCTCAGAGGATGGCTTTTGATGGGGACAGGGACACGGCAGGGTCATGGTGACAAGTTTGCAGGGGGGGCAGCACTTCCGCAGGCCTAGGGCGGAGGGTGACAGTGGCTTACAGACATGCCTGACCAAAGGACACAGAGCTGCGTGCGCTGTTCACGCAGCCGCCAGCCTGACCGGGCAACGGAGACAGTTTGATTTGGTTCACAAATTGGGATGGGGCGGCGGGACCGCCCCCTGAGTCTCTCCAGAAGTTACTGTCTGCATCCGCTACCTTCTCTGTTACTAGCGCTTCCTGTCCTCACACGAGCCTGCTTCGCCTGTTAACTGTGACATATCGCCACACAGGAAAAACGCAGTATTTCAGCGCAGAGTCACTTGCAGACCCTTCTGGCTGGCATCATTCGATACTTCTGGGGCCTTTAAAAAATGCCTTCTTATGAGAGAGAGAAAGAGAAAATAAGAATCTATTTCCGGATTTGGCAAGTAACTGTAAGAAATTAAAGGCTAAATACATTTAACTAAACTAGAACCATATGAGATAAAACATTCCCTAGCTTGTCACCGAATCTTCTAGCCACATGTCCCCAGCATTCTCCATGGGGAGGAAAACCCAAATGGGTTTGATCAAATGCGTTCTGATTCGGAGGAGCCTCTGAGGCTCTTTGCGAGGTGCAGGCTGCTCCCCTCACCTTTTGTGTGTGTGGCCCTGGTGTGGAGCCCCTCGGCCTCCGGCCGGGACTGCGGAGGCTGCGGGCCGACTCCGCAGGGGCCTCCCGCCGCTGAGCAGCAGGCGGGCAGGGTCCGTCTGATGGGCTCCCTCCCCTGGACCACCCTGTCCTAAGTGACCTCCATGTATCTTTCTAGAGCTGCCCCGTCTCTCAGGATCAAGGTCAGAGGTGCTGGGGTGGTTCGCCCAGGCCGGGGAAGGGCCTCAGACCCCTCTCCACTGGGCCCTTGTCGCCTGCGCTGCGGCCCTGCTCAGGGCCACTCCTAGGGGGCCGGGCCCACTCGGGGTCATGGGGATGCCTGCACCGGGCTGCACGGCTCACGGCAAAGCTAGGAGATGGCTGGGGACCCACAGCCCTGTCGCGCCTCAGGCCAGGTGCCACCAGCACTTTGCAGCCGGCACCTGCCTCCTCCCTGCCCATCCTCGTCCTCCAGCAGGGCCCATCAGGGGTCAACCAGCCCCGGACAAGGCCGCCCCACCCCAGGTCTGGTGCGTTGGGCCCCTCCCTCCATGGCCGGGTGCCTTGGGACTGGACCTGTGGTCCCCAAAGGGAATCTCACAGCAACGCTGTGCTCCTGGTGGTCTTCACCGGGCTGGGTGGGGCTTGTCTCCCTGCGTCTCCAGCGCTACCTGGCGGGGCCCTCTGAGCGGACGCAGGACCAGACGTGGAAACCTGTGGCTGAAGCCCGAAGGAAACCCGAGCAGCTTAGAGGAAACGAGCTGCGACCGCCCATGCGCTCGAGATGGGGAGCTGAGCTGGCTCAGGCCACTGAGTGACACGCGGACCTTTCTCATACCGACCAGCGGGCGGTCCCCACCACTCCTGCCTGAAAGACGGCGTCAGAAGCCGCCCGGCCGCGCAGCGGCTTCCCTCAGGGAAACCAGCTCTGCCTGAGGCTGCAGCCCAGAACTGCCCCGACGCCCTCCGCCCTCCAGGCGAAGAGGAGCTCCGGCCCCCATCCACTCCCTGCGTCCTCCCCCGACACATGGAACCGGCGGGCACGGCAGAATTCACTCACTCCAGAAGCACAGGACTTCCGACCGGGAGGAACTCTGATGAGGGCTGGGTCCCCAGGTGACAAGAACCCCGAGACCTTGTTAACTGCAGACACAAGAGCTGCTCGCTCCCTGGTCTGTAGTGGAGCCCAGGACTCTGAATTTTTAACAAGCCCTGGAAGTTTCTCCACAGACAAGGCCAGGCTAGGGAGTCTCTGATTTGCTGTCTGCACTTGTCACAAAGCAGCAAGCTGGCTTCCAGGCCAGGCTGTGTGTGGCGGTGGTGGCGTGGGGGCGGGGTCCAGCCTGCTGGCCGGGGCACTGGGCGGCTCGTGGGTTCCTCCTCACCTGCCCCGCCTGGGGTTGTATCCCCTTTAAAATAAATCTGGCTTCTTCAGGGTTCTTAAATTAAAGCCTTATTAAACACGTAGGCAGGATCATAGTGCTGCCTTCTTTCCCGCAAAGCGCATCCAGTGGAGAAGGAAATCTTCCCCAGCTCATGACTCACTAAAACACTCATGTTCCAAATGACTCTTTAAAAAGCACGGGCCAATTTGTTTTGCATCACAATTACTAATGATGATAATAGGAACCTAATCACTAAGTGCACTGGCCAAACAGCAGCCTGATGAGGAAGGAGGCGCAGCCCATCGCCTTTCGGGACAAGTGCAGAAGTGCCCCCCCGAGACTGCAGCGCCCGCAGCCCAGGGGCGGCCCCAGACCTCCCTCCCGGGCTCCGCGGAGCTGACGCTCCCTGGGGGGGCCACAATCAGCATCGGGACCCTCCCATTCACAGCACGCAGGAAGTCACAGCCAGTGGATTACCTTATTATCCCATCTGAAATCTGTTAGCGTCTACTCCATTAGTTCCCCCCCCCAACGCAACCACCACCTGCAGGAGGCCTCCACCTGGAAGCACAGTCTGCGCATTCGCATTCGTTGCATTCCTCTCGCGGCAGCTGGGAGGGAGCCTGGCTGGGGCCTCCTGGCCTGGCCTTCCTAGGCCAGTTCAGTCTCAGCATCGGCACCGGGGGCCCGGGTCCCCGCCCCTCCGAGCCAGGTGCACTGGCCTGCCGGGAGGGCACCGCCATCAGCAGTCCCTGCCTCCCCAGCCTCTCCACGCTGGTTTGACGCGGCCCGGGCACCCCAGTTTTTGCAAGCACCAGCAGGTGACCCTGTCACGCAGCTGGGTTAACCACAGCCTTGAAGGAAGCTGCTCCCTGGCGCCACCCGGAGCTGGGCAGGAAGGGCGCGGGGGGGCCCCCCTCCCGCATGGCTGTGCCCGCGCACCCTGGCAAGGGCTTCTCTGTCCCAGTTGCTGACAAGGCCGAGCGCCTTGTGTGACGTCATGTATTGATTAGCTTGGCCAAAAAGTCCATATGGTTTTTCTGTAAAATAAAGACATATTTTTTATCTTCACCAGTAACTTTATAGATTTGGATATTGAGTATGCTGGCTGTCTCCCGCCCCACACGGAAGGGTGCTGTCCTCAGTTAATGTCTCATTTTAATCATTTTCAACTTCAACTGGTCCACCTGATGTGGAGCAACATCTGGCAAGAAATCTCCAGCATGAAACTTTGCAAAGCACTTTTAACATGTTCAGTCAGTCACAGCACCTTCTCCATGCCCTACACAATTCTTTGGGGGGAGGGGGGTTCAGTTGTGTTACTTTTTTTGAAATTTTAATAAAGCATAATATGCCAAAATGTTGCTTTTCTTCCATCTTCAATATTAAAATGGCTACACCAATTTTGATAAGTTTTTTTAAATACACGCTGATACAACAGCTGTCATAATACAATCTAACAAAATTGTTTTGAATGAAGTTAAAGACAATTAAGTGCTACTAGAGCCATCTTATGGGAAAACAAAAACAAAAACAAAAACAAATGAACTTTTTAGCCAACCCAATAGCTAGAGTGAGGGCAGGATTAAGCAACAAGGGCCTGGCAATTTGGGGGGAAAAGGGAAGGTAAGAAGGGGTCTTCAAAGCACCAAATTCTGACAAAGACTATTTTGACCTGTCGGATCTACGGGTAAGTTTACCTCCAACAGCA